TTCATCTCATTATCTAAACGTCATACACTGACAGTGATAATAATTCCAAAATGCAAAATTCCAGTTCTTTTCCCATACTATATACAAAATTTAGTATCATTTACCACTTTTCGTGCGCTATAGAGTGTACACCTTGATCCCAATACCAATATTTATATTTCCTTCTCTATTCAGCCATTCTATGTTGAACTTAGTGCCTATTTATTACTTTTCGCATTTTTAGCACGTGTTGCGAAAACCATTTCAAAATCTCAACCCTCGTGAGGCTAATTTTGAATTTCCAGCTCCTTAAACCAAATTGTACCAAATTTAGTACCATCTAGAAAGGTTCTTACACTTAGTACACATTTACAAAACCAGCTCCTTTTATCAAACCTACTTACCAAGCTTAATACTTATGTCAAGATTTTAGCTCTATCCGTTCAATGGATGGACCAAATATAGTGCCTTTTAGTTCGAATTTTCCATACCCAATCAACGACCTTCATACCAAATTTGGGAATTCTACCTCTATTTGTTTGACAAAAAACAAGTAAAAAAGCTATAAATCCGACCGGGCCGAACTTTGAATACCCTCCACCATTTGGAACGAATTTGGCAATTCTCAAAAGCAATAAAATCCCTTAAAATCTTAGAAATAGCAAATGTAGCCGTTATATTAGGGTCAATACGATGACATGGACCTGCATAGGTAATTTTTTTTTTCATAAGCCATTACAATATTCAAATGCGAAACTTAGAAAAAAATTGGTAAATAATGTAGCTACAGTCATCAAAATGCCGATTATGGGAAGGTACCGTTATATGGGGGCTATACGAAGACGTGGACCAGCACAAACAATTTTCTGTCTTAGTATTAAGTATTCATTGCGAACTTCAAATACCAAATTTGAAACAATTCCGGTGAATAATGTCGCTAAAATCACCAAAATAACGAATATCGGGAGGTACCTTTATATGGGGGCCATACAAAGACGTGGACCTGCAGAGATAGTGTTCTGTCTTAGGCTGTAGTATCCATTACGAACTTCAAATAGCAAATTCGAAACAATTCCGGTGAATAATGTCGGTAAAACCATTAAAATACCGAATATCGGGGGTACCGTTATATGGGGGCTATACGAAGACATGGACCTGCACACACAATTTTCTGTCTTAGGTTGTAGCATCCATTTCGATAGACAGACGTGGACATGAGTATTTCGAGGAGTTACAAACGGAATGACAAAATTAATATACCCTCCATAGTATGGTGGAGGGTATAAAAAGAATTCATATTATAGTGCCTTTTAGTTTTGCACTTGCGGAATAAAATAGTATTCTATGATCGCCTTCTGACTCTAAACTACTTCCTCAGCAATTGAGTTATAAATAGTGTAACTAACATCCTTCGTTGTAGTCCTTTCTGCGATTTCCAACTGATATACCTCTGTTATGAACAGCGCCTCTACATATTTCCCCCCCAAACTATAAAAAAAACATTTTTTTTTAATTTTATGCCCTTGAAATACATTAGTTTATTTTATTCTTCCAATACGCATTCTTATTAGAATAGCATATTTCCGAACCCTGTTTTATAAATTATAAATACCACTCTGTTATGAATTCCTGCTAACGTTTAATTCACCACTCAAGCAATTGGAATACAACACGAACGAATGCTGGAGGAACAAATGGTAAACGGAACAAAACAAACTAATGCAACGAGAGAGCACAAAACACCTCCATAACTTGTAGTTGTTATTCCATTAAAATGGAATGGATTAAGTTGATAATAATGAATGAATTGATAATGATTGTATTGATAATAATGGCGGTATATTAATCAAAGATAAGTTTGGATTTATATTGTCGTTATTTATTTTGATAATAATGAATATTGATTAACTACTTGAATAATCCTATAGTTAACAAACATGGAAGTAAAAATGTATGCCTATTATATTAATCAATAAAAAGATTTTTTTATTAAAAAAAATTGAAAAATGTTGCAATTTGTTTTGTTGTTGGGAAATAGTTGGGGTAAATCTTTACAAAAACGAGGGTATTTATTATTGAAGAAAATATGACAAAGTTTACCAGGAGGTAAAAAGACAAGAAATACCATGGTTTCGGAGAGAGCCACCAATCTTCATTAGGAATTGTTGTATTTTTATTAACTTAGAAATGTTCTTTATAGGATGAGATGAAAAAACTGCAACCAACTTCAGACTACTGTCATTTCTAAGCCACACGTCCGACAGCTGTTAAAATTATTCCAGTGACAGCTTATTATATTGTTTACAAGCGTATAAAAGCATTTTGAGAATTTTTCAGAAAACAAAGTTATTCGTGATGGAATTCAAGCGTGATAGTGTGATTTCTTTATATAATTGACTGGAAAACCACAAGTGGCTATAGTTAGAGCACTCCAGCATTTAAATGTGAATAAATCGTTTGTATCTCGTAACATTGCTCGTTACCGTGATACTGGTAGCGTAGCCCCAGTGGACGGAAGAAAACAGCAACATCAGCAGAAATGGTTGAAAAGGTAAAGAAGCGACTTGATCGAAACCCGCCTTGCAGTAGCCGAAAAATGACTCGTGAGCTGAACATATTGCAGTATTCCATTCGGAAAATATGAGCTCCGGGCTTAAAGCCATTGAAATTCCAAAAAGTGCAAATATGAGCTCCGGGCTTAAAGCAAATATGAGCTCCTGGCTTAAAGCCATTGAAATTCCAAAAAGTTCAAGAACTTATACCGCAACAGAAAGAAAATAGACTCAAAATAGCTAAAGAGTTGCTTCGCTATGCCGAAAGTGGTGAACAGCAGAATTTGGTTTTCTCCGATGAGAAAACATTTGGATGTCCAGCAGTTTGTAAACAAACAAAATGATCGTGTTTACTTCTGCCAAAGAGGTCAGCTGAAAATGTGCACCTTCGGTTGGCCACTAGGACTCAAGCGCCGGCCATGGTGATGATGTGGGCCGCCATAACAGCCGATGGTCGCTCTCCAATCGTACAAACCAATTCGAACAAATCTAAGCTTATTCTAAAATTTGTTGCTATTTCCGACATTTTTATACCCTCCGACATAGTATGGAGGGTATATTATGTTTGTCATTCCATTTGTAACACCTCGAAATATACATTTTAGACGACACAAAGTATACATATTCTTGATCAGCATAAAATTCTATGTCGATTTAGCCATGTTCGTCCGTCCGTCACTCTAACTTCCGAACAAATTGAAGTAGATTGATAAAATTTTACTCAAATGTATATTATGTCTGCAGGACTTTTGGTATTGAAAATGGGCCATGTAGGTCCAAGTTTTGGTATAGCCCCCATATAACAGTGCCTCATTATATTCGGTATTTTGACGATTTTAGCAACATTATTAACCGGAATTGTTTCAAATTTGATATATGACAGAAAATTGTCTGTGCAAGTTCACGTCTTCGTATAGCCCCCATGTAACGGTACCTACCAATATTCGGCATTTTGATGATTTTAGCGTCATTGTTCACCGGAATTGTTTCAAATTACGTATTTAGAGTTCGTAATGGGAACTACAGTCTGTGACAGAAAATTGTCTTTGCAGATCCAGGTCTTCGTATAGGCCCCAGTGCATCCCTATTTTCGGTATTTTTACGATTTTAAGTACAATACCCACCCAAATTGTTTAAAATTTTGTATTTGAAGTTCGTAATGGAAGCTACAGCCTGTGACAGAAAATTGATACAACAGTACCTCTCGATATTGGGTATTTTGATGATTTTAGCTACATTATTTACCGTTTATTTCATGTTACGAGTTTAAATATGGTAACGGCTTATGAAAAACAATGCATATGTAGGTCCACGTCGTAAAGACCCCAATATAACGGCTATATTCGGTATTTTCAAAATTTTAACAGAATTTTTTAAGGATTTTATTTTTTGAAAATTTCCAAATTCGTTCCTAATGGTGGAGGGTATTCAAAGTTCGGCCCGGCCGAACTTACTGCTTTTTAACTTGTTATGATTTTTAAGAGCATTTTTTAACGTAGCCTTTTAAATTCTTAAATTCCTTCCAAATGGTGGAAGGTATTCAATGTTCGACCCGGCCTAACTTAATACTTTTTCACTTGTTTTTTATTAATTTGATTCCATGACCTGATGATTTTTATGGATTCATGTTCTAAGAAAACATCAATTGAAAAAAAAAAATCCTTTTCATTTCTTTCCTTTAGAAATATTTTCATATCAACTTTTCATAGAACAAGAATCGAGCCTTTGAAATAGACCAAATAATTGATAATATTAATGTTTCAAAATAACTATTTGCAAAAAACAATAATGAAACATCTTGCAATATGTAATTTTTATTCTTTTTTACATTATCTCTTTTTTCTATCCCACTCAGCTCTGATTTAAATATACAGAACATTTGAATCACTCTTCCTCTCCCTCGCTCACTCTCTCTATGATTTATTATTTGTGGTTACATTTTCTGTTACATTGTAAAAATTACCGGCATAAACACCTTTAATTGTCTCCCCCCCATAATAAAACCTATAATAAATATCCCTCTGTAATGTATGTAACTCTCTGGTTGTCTTCGCTCTCTTTTTCTCTTTCATTGGCCTCACATTACAACGGGGGCCTGCCTCATTTGTTGTGATTTGTTTCCTTCTTTTTATTACGTTTTGTAATGGTGGCACAATCAAAAACAGAGTACCTGTTAATTGCATGTGAGGGAAATTTATTGTTATGTACTCATTGGCCGAGAGAGAGATGCCGTGTTGTGAGAGTGATTGAGAGCATGTGTTCGTATGCGCCTGCTTGCTTAATACAAATGGAATTGAAACATGTTGGGGTAAAATTTCCCTTTGTGCAAGGGAGAGCTGAGAGTGCCATGTCATAGAGAGAGATAGAGAGAGAGAGAGAGAGCCAGCCGCCACTGTAAATTGGGGAGCAAATTTCCCCGTTGTGTTGGAGTTTTGCACAAGTAACAAAATCAGTTGAGTTTTTGATGCCGTTGCGGACGGAGCGTTTAAATCGATTGAAATATAACGGTTAGCATTGAATGCTTAATAAGGTGTTTGATACTTACTTATGTGTATGGTGTTTTTTCAGTTATCACAAGTGAATGAAATTAAATTTTGTATACTTTTGGAAGAGAAAAATGATGTATTAAAATTTTTGAGAGAAAATGAAGAAAATAAATAAAAATTGATTTTCTATAAAAATTTTTGTGAAATAAAAGTATGTTTCCAATAATGATTTTGAAGGAGAATTATTGATTTTTTCCCTCTGCTCTGGTTTAGTGAGAAAATTTTAGATATTTATGGCAAAAATGTTCTGTATTTAAGGAAAAAGTTGTGTTGTTCTTATTTTCTTTTTTATTGTCCAGCCAGCCTAAAAGAAATGAGTGAAAAAATAATAAAAAACGACAAATAAAAAGAAAACAAATCTTTTGGTGAAAAAGTGCAAAAACCGGTTACAAACAACTCACAGCCGTAGCAGCAGCATCAGCAGAAAAAAATTAACAAGTCTCGGATTTCAAACAGCAAAAAGTGTGGGGAGTTGTTGGTTGGCTGTCTTCTGCTCTTCCACCTCCTCGACCATTGGAGGGGATCTACGGCGACAGTCAACAGCATCAGAAGCGGCAGCGGCAGCAGCACAGATTCCAATCAACATTCAATATACTCTGTGTACTCTGAATGTTGGATACCGGACAATAAAAAAAACAACAACACAATTTGTTGTTCTTGTTGTTGTCTTTGGTGTGTTTGTGTGTCTGTCTGTCTGGTTGTCTTTCTGTGTGTGGTTGTCTTGTTTGACTTATATGGCCATTTGGCTCGCTGTTATGGTGGCTTACATTGGCCCACAACAAGCCAAGACTGGACAACACCAAAATGAATGTTGGTAATGTAAAACTTAGGCTCGGTATCAGTGGACCAACAAAAAACAACAACAACAACTCCACACACTCTTTGGCCTAATGGATGCTGTGTGCTACGAGATGTGAGCGAACGAGTGAGTGAGTGTTGGGTGAGAAGTAATCTTGAAACAAGAATAAGAATTACAGCACCAAAGTGAAAGAAGACCAATTAAACAACAGGAAAAAATTCAGCCAAAGAATAAGAAGAAGACCAAGGCAAAATAGAAACAAAGCCAATGGGCAAACAAGAAATTAAACCTCTTCTACAGAGGATTTCATGGGTGGCCGGTGACCCTTAAAGAAAATTGTTTGAAAGGATACAAAAAAAAAAAAAAATTGAAAAAACCTAAAAAAATTCTGTTTTCTAATTTGTGTTTATTTTCCATTCTCTTTTAGTTCTTCTTCAATTTTATTTTTGATTTGTGTCAACAACAAATTTTCCATTTGAAGTGAAACGACAAAGTGAAAAAAAAGAAAATTCCCATTCCATGGAATAAAATCTCCACCCAAAAGTCCAGCAGAAAAAAAAAATAAAAATCGAAAAAGGAATGAAGGAAAATATAATTCATAATTAATTATTTGTGTGCGTGTGTGATAACTTCGAGAGCATAACAGAGAAGTGAATTGTAGAGAGAGTGAGAGCCCGAGAGAGCGTAGGGAGGAATTTCTGTTTGCCACCAAGAAAAAACCTTTGGAAAAAGGCTGCTCCTTGCCTCAAAAAGGCAAGCTCTCCAAAAAAAGAGAAATTTCTAAGTGAAAGCCGTAATAAATAAAAAAATCTCCAAATCTACAAAATCTTTGTAAAACAACAACAACAAAACAAATAAGTGAAAAATTATTTAAAAAAATCCAAGAGTTTCAATTAAAAAAAAAAAAACCCAATAATTCATAATATTCCCAAATAAAAGAGCGAAATATAACAGAGAGAAATAGCAGAGTGAGAGAGAAAGTTCACACAAAATATTACATTCATACTCTCTCTCCCTTGCACAGAGCTCATTAATCCTTGTCACAAAAATCAAGCTCTCAGCTCTCACAGTGTGTGTTTTAGTTGGAGAGTACTTATCATCAACAACAATTTACAACAAAACCAAACAAAACATCCAATAACGACAACAACATTACGACTAGCAGAGTATCTCTCTCTTCCTAACATTATTCCGGCATTGCTGTGCTCCGCTTTTCGTTTTTTTATTGTTTTTACCATTTGTATGGTTGTTGGTGGTTCTCTGCCGAATGACTTTGTATGCTGAGTGAAAAAGGTCAGTATCCTGGTTATTATAGATATTTTTGAAGTTCTGTGTGTGTTCTGTTGTGTTTTCCATTTTTTCCTGCTTCGATTTAGTTCCTTTTTGTTGTCATCTTCGTTTACGTTTTTTTTTTCTTTCTTTTTTGGGTAGCTAAAGATTCTGTGTTGTTTTTCTTTTCTTCTTCTATTTTATGCAGCCATTTCTTATGGCCCGGCCATTTGGGAGCTGCCATTCGTAATTTTTTTTTTCGTTTTGCATAAGATTCAATTTTTTTTTATTGCCACAATGCCAGCCAGCTGTACGAGGATGTTCAGCCATAGAAGAGAACTTTAAAGCCATTGAAATTTGGCTATTTTGTCTCAGGAAACGGTTGCCTTATCGAATTCTGTATTGCCTTACTTTATCTTTTGTGTAAATTCGATAAAAGAAGTGATTTCATCCAATTGGAATTTAAGATAACAACACCAACAATTTTTTTCCAAAAGGCTAAGTGGTGGAAATTTGACGTTACTTTTTTTTCCCAATATCCACTGCGCAATAAAGAAGAATATGACAAAAATGCAGGTTGTCTGGACAAAAATATGACAAATTATTTATAGTGGTTTGGATGATTAGGTCTCTAAATGCATATGCTTTTCCTATTTGGTGGATTTTTACGTCCTGTTTGGGTCTGAGGCGAACTCAGGGAGAAGATGGAACATGGCGCCCACCTGTCAAGTACAGTTGCATTTTGTATGGCTAGCGCTCAAGGTTTCCTAGACAAGGCAGCATCCTTATAAAATAGGGCCTATTCCATTCGTATGAAATTCTTAGATCCTGTTTAGACCCAAAGCGAACTCAAAGAGAAGATGCAATACGGAGACTACCTGTCAAAGGGATAGTGTGTGAGTCCAATAACTTGAGAAAAATATATACATTTCTTATGGCTAGTGCTTAAGGCTTTCTAGACAAAGCTGCATCTTTATAAAATAGAAGGCTCCAAGTTAGTCTATGCTTTTCCTATTGAGATCACTTCTGTGTTTGGAAGAGGTGAATTCCTATGTCCTGTTTGGGCCTAAACGAACTCAAAGAGAAAGTGGAACACGGCGACTACCTGATAATAGGATAATGTATAAATCCAATGACTTCAGAAGAATGTATAAATTTCTTATGGCTAGCGCTCAAGGTTTCCTAGACAAAGTTGTATCCTTTCCCTTTAGGCCTAGGCGAACTCAGGCCTATTCCATTCGTATGGAAATTATTAGATCCTGCTTGCACCTACAACGAACTCAAAGAGCTATTGGAACACGGAGCCTTCCTGCCAAAAGGATAGCGTATGAGTCCAATAACTTGAGAAGAATACAGGGTGGGATAAAAAACTGCAATGAAGTCTAACGCCATAATTTTTAATTTTTTGTTTTTAATTTTATTGAATGAAAGCAAAAAATGTCGGAAGTAGCATCAAATTTTAGAATAAGTTTAGATTTGTTCGAATTGGTCACCTTTGGTACGAATTATGGCCTTAAAACATTCCCGGCGAACCGCTTGCTTGAGGTGATCAACACTTTGGTATTTTTTAGTATCAACCTTGCTTTCCAAAATACTCCAGACACAATAGTCACACGGGATGGTTTCCGGAGATTTTGGTGGCCATTGTGCGCTGGAAATGAAACGAGGAACCTCACTTTGTAACCATTCTTGGGTGGCGCGTGCATGCCCAAGGCTTTAATACACCCTCCAGAATAATTTCGCCATAATATTCGGCATTAGTTCTGATACCACGGTCAATTAATACGAGCGGAGAGCGCCCATCGGCTGTTATAGTGGCCCACACCATCACCATGGCCGGCGCTTGAGTTCGCGTGGCCAACCGAAGGTGCACATTTTCAGCTGACCTCTTTGGCAAGTAAACACGATCATTTTGTATGTTTACAAACTGCTGGACAACGAATGTTTTCTCATCGGAGAAAACCAAATCCGGCAGTTCACCACTTTCGGCCAAGCGAAATAACTCTTAAGCTCTTTTGAGTTTATTTTCTTTCTGTTGCGGTGTAAGTTCTTGTACTTTTTAGAATTTCAATGGCTTTACCCCGAGTTCATTTTTCAATATTTGCCGAATGGATTGTTGCGATATGTCTAGCTCATGAGCCATTTTTCGGCCACTGCGATGCGGGTTTTGATCAAGTCGCTTCTTTACTTTTCTGCGTTTGATGCTGTTTTCTTCTGTCCACTTTCTTGACGTCTACGCTACCAATATCACGGTAACGAGCGATGGTACGAGACACAAAAGTTTTATTCACATGTAAATGCTGGAGTGCTCTAACGATAGCCACTTTTGGTTTTCCAGTCAAATATAACGAAATCAACCTATCACGCTTGAATTCTATCACAAATAACTTTTTTCTGAAAAATTCTCATAAAAATGATTTTGTACGCTTTTAAACTATATAATGAGCTCTCAATGGAATAATTCTAACAGCTGTCGGACGAGTGGCTTAGAAATGACAGCAGTCTGAAGTTGGTTGCAGATTTTTTCATCTCACCCTGAAGATTAAAATCTCTTTTGGAGAGCCATTATTGTGGATTTATTTCAAGAGTTTAACGCTTGTGATAGTTTGTCTCTTGAGTCAATATTTAAAAAGCATTGAAATCAGTAGCAAAATTCTTTTTTGGGAGATCAACTCAATTATAAGTATATGTGTACTATATGCTGCAGCCTTTGTTGAGTATTATATGGATAAACTTAGAAAAGTAAGATTTACGCCAAGTATAGATATTCGGAGCTATTGTTAGCCGTAAGGTATTGAAATATTGTCTAATGAATTGATGAAGAATATACTTGATAGATTGTTTTCGATTTACAGTTTGATCTTTGATCTATATTTGTATTTCATGTACCAGATAATTGAGATTGGAGGTTGCTGAGTCGGAATACTTCATGACTCCAGCCTACCGTTACAAGAATGTTATGAAAAATTAGAAATGCAATTGGAAAGGTTTCGAGCAAGGCCCATCTATTAGGTCGTGTTAGAGGCGAATTGTCATTTCCACATTAATCAAATAAATTGTCTACAATATTTTCCCGAGCAGGATCAGGTATGACAAGCGGCGTTCTGTTTACAAGTCATAGATTTATTCAATGAACTAGATATACTGGCCATTTCTACCTGTTATTTGACGAATAGCTTAAGACACTCAATGGCTGTCGAATTTCAGGCTGAGCAATGGGTATGAACCTAAATTGCTTGCGGATTTAATAACTGTAAAAATTCTGTGATGACAATTTGTAATATTTTGCAGCGAATTCCAAATATAAACAAATGTATTTTAACAGAATGGGTGAAATCAGCTGAGCTAATCGAACGACCTAATAATTGGCCATGTTTTCGAGATTGCAAAGATTGTCGGGTTAAAGCCGAATGGAGTTGTAATGACTCAATGAGAAGTTCAGAAGTATCAGTCGATTTACTGATAGTTATCTGTCTCCTGATGGTTTGATCTAAGTTTGTTTATATTTAAATGCTTCGCACTGAAGCTAAAGCTCTTAGTTTGCTGTATGAGTTCTAAATTAAGTGTTTTGTCCCCATTTTGTAAAAAACATACCATTTTGCACAAATCCATTGTGCCTTGAATCTGGACTGAACAGATAAAATACGATGAACTCGATTTTATTATTTTTTTAGGCATATGACACAAAAACTTGTCATTGCATTTCAGAGTGATGACAAATAGCTACTTCAGTATTATCAGGATTTATAAAGTAATGAATTGCAAAAAAAAAATATGAAGCAAAGTACTCGAGCTCGAAAAATTATACCTATTTATAAAATAGGAACAATTTAAAGCAATTTATTTCGTCTTGTGTTAAAAACAGTAACAATGTCACCATTCACTGATATTTTCATCTTTTTTCTTTCTTTAAATATGGAAGTAAATATTATTCATATTTCTCTCGCGCTTTTTCTACTTGAAGGTCGCCGTCGCTATTACTCACAATCTTTATGCCAGTTTATTTGCCCAACGAAAATGTCGCCCGATAATCAATTGCGATAATGTCAACAGTTGGTGTTCCCTTCTATTTATACAACTGACAATTATCATTCAACTGCGACGACAGGTTATACGAACACCTTAAGTACCTCTTTTGGGTGAATCGAAAAAAAGCACCTTTTCATGGGTCCCGTGAAATTCGAAAACGAGGCGATTTTTTTTCAGAAAAAAAAAAGAAAAAAGTTTGAAGTGACGTTCATGAAAGCATGCCTTGACTTGAAAATATTATCATTGAATTATGTCATATCAGAGTGAAATATGTGAATAAGTTCTACTACTTGAGATTATAACATGTGTGAGAATTTTGGATAGGCAATTTTATTTATTTTTTTTTTTTTCAATACTCAGGTGACAGATATCACACTTTGTTAATGAAATGCAAAGAGCGGGTGGTGTGTACGTTCCAAAAAGCTCAGTTGCTATTTTCACTACAAAAATCGATTAATCGATCACTTGAAAGTCGACTTACTCATCCCTATACATTCCCGAATTTAATGAGATTAGGTGTGTTTGGTTATCCTAAAAATTGTTACTGAAATTCATCTGTTAATAAAGAAATTCTGCAAAAGAGAGCGGTTCGAGAGAGTCATTTTGATGGTTTTTTTTACTGAGAGTTTGCAAATTCTTGAGTTTTTCATAGTATTCTTGCAAAAATGTACAATACTACCTTATTCTCTCAGAAAGAAGATGCTGGACAAGGAAAGGTAACCAGACACACCTATTTTAATTTTTACTTGCCATATTCGAAATACAATTTTCTTCACAAAATTGTCTTCAAAGATATCGATGGCGTTTCTAGATATGGCAACACTATTAAAATCGATTAATTTGCGAAAAAGAAGTTCTTATCTGGCCACACAGAAAAATCTGCATAAAAAGAATGGATGGAAGACAATGGATCAATGTGGCTACCTAAATATTTTACAACAAAATTTGATGCAAAGTGCCTTGAACCTTCACCCAGGAGAAGATTTCTGGTTCTA